AGTGTTGTTTGCGTTGTCCAAACTTGCCGGTCAAGCGAGCAGTTGGACGTACTGAAGCTTTTAGCCGATCAAAATTGCTTTACCAGCAACAAATACTTCAAAGTCGTGCTAGACAAGGCGTTCAAAGCACCATAGAGTGATTTTCATGCCCGTGCCAAGTTCAAGCTTCGCCAATGTCGTTATGATCTACACTCGTATGTACATCGTGATCGTTACTTTGTATCAAGCGTTGATGACACGCGGATTGACGTCTTATAAGATTTGAATTGTTCATATCGGGTCTGAATGATGAGCTGATCCGAAAATGACTGCCCCGTTCGTTCCCCTAGACGCGACACAGCGTCTGATCAAGAGCAATTCAGCATGACGCAAGCCGTATTCATTGTATTTGTACAAAAGCAGCGCGTCAATCGACTGCTACAAGTGATGATCCACAGTTAATAGACATCTCGAACATTTTTACGCCTGGAAATGAGCGTCCTCGCAACTTTGGACAGCTGCCTCGTTGTGGAAAGCCGAATGAAATTGGCTGAGTGACTTCGTCGATTCGGCAACAGCACAGAGTGATTGTATGGATAACGTGGATGACATAAAGGTTGTCGATATGAACTCTCCCAAGAATAAAAATCGGAAACGGGGCTACTGGGCCCAAGATACGAACTGTTGATGCTGGTGATACACAGAGCTCTGGCCTGAACGTGTAGAATGCACGCAGTCTCCACTAAAAGTGATAGCAGCGTCAGGCAAAATAGGCTGTGGTCGTCCAAGAAGTCGTTGTAGATGGCTTTGAGAAACCACCTCGAGCCTTGTTGACCCCGGTGCGTCGAACAACTTTGTTCGAGCTCAAATAATGACTGGGTGTGCTATCAGCCTGTCCAATGTGAAAAAAAGAATTGATTATTTGTTAAGCGAATGGATCTACAATGAAGATGTCAATGCAAGTCATCTGCTTGGCAATAAAGTTTGAGAATTTTCGAGGTGAAGACACGTTTGTCCTTCTTAATCTCAATAAGCAGCTTGGCATCATCCTACATATGCCATTAGAAGCGTTATCGGTCTAGCATTGACTGGATGAATATAGATCATCGTTAACAAGTCGTGCGGCGCCTATTCGAACTGCATGACGGCAGACGAAAAGATATGGACGAATGCATCTATTTTTAAATTCAAAGATGTCCCAAGTGATATTGTGGTGTGCATTGACCCCCGTGTTCAAAGGACACATCTAAGAAGACAAAAGTAACGACACAACTGGAGGTGAAGCATACAGGCGCCAGAGAAAAATTGTCCTCTTTCCATGTGCATAAATTCGTGGATGGTGGTATTATGAAAAACAGTGGGACTAAAGGAAAGCTCCGTCTAGAGAGAAAAAGAAATTTACCATGAAGAGTTTTCCGTCAATTACTTTGTGTACCCCTGACCGCAGCACAAGTAGTAGTGATGAAGGAAGTGTTCAAGTATAAGACAATTTGAGCAAGTTTGTAAATGTTGCGACCAACAACGAAGAAGTTGACGTCGATGTAGCTTCGCGTGAGGATCGAAAACCCTTCAAATTCAGTGAAAACGTTGTTTTTCTTGCTGTTGATGAGCAAGAAGAAGCTGAAGAGTAGCCTGGCGAAAGGTGCAATTTTGCAAATATGTACGATCGTCGAAGTAGCTATCGACAACATCATCAATACTACAAAAGTATCTGATGAGAAGACACGAGAGTAATATTTGATGAGCAGTCGTGTGGTGCGCAAAGGACAAACACCGTGAATAGACCTGCCAAGGAAAATGCTGATTCTTTTCTAGACAAGGTGCTGAACGAATCATCATTTGTCGGAGGCATTCGTCGTGAAATTGACACAGATTTCTGGCAGAAGTACTGTATTAAGCGGTAGTCGACGCTACCAGAATACAGGTCTTTGCAATCGAGGAGTTTTCGCGCAGTGACAAAAGGCCGGTTATGAGCGCGGAAACAAGATTCCGCACCATGGCCCACCTTTATGTGTGAAGATATCCACTGGTGGTTGTGCATTTTCACGCTTCCAATGAATTGAATGTTGCGGCCATACTTCCTGTTATGATCCTTGATGGCATGAAGGTTAGTACTATTTTCGGAGCGACCGATCGTAAAGATGATTTTTTTCAAATACGATTGCGCAAAAATGATATACCACTAACTGCAGTCAGTACCCCTAAAGGTATGCTGTGGGATGGGTTGATGAATGCTCTCGCGACATTCATCAAAAAGCCGCTAATCGAATTCGCCCATTGAAAGAGTTTGTACCGAGTTACTTTAACGATATTTTCGTTGATAGTAGGAAAACGAGTGATGTCGATGTTCATCTTAATCACCTTTATCTGGTTTTCTAAGTTATGCGAGCGAATGAACTCTACGCTAACCTGAACATAGTATTTGCTTTGTACATGAGATTCCGTTCTGATTGTTTTGTGGGCATACATGGCATTTGTGTAGATCCGGAGAAAGTCAAAACTATCAATAATTGCCCATTTGCAAACAATGTGAAACAGCTGAGACTATGGCTGGGACTTGCCAACTATAAGAAAACACAACTACACGTGCAATTATGCAGCATTGTGCAACCTCCAACGACTATTTTAATAACAAGTGATTAGTGAGAATAATCATACAATCGCCAGGCGGTATATTGCCGAAAAGAAGAGGTGCTTGTGAGAAGCTCCTGTCCTTGCGATGGCAAACCACAATGGTCCTTTCCATAAGGTCTACGATGCAAGTGGTGATGCCATCGAATGTTTGTTGATGCAACACAATGATGATGATCGAATGCGAGTTGTTTTGTTCAGTCGCGATGACCAAAGTTATCTTGTTCATGACAAACAGCCTCTAGCATTGAAATATGCTTCGGTCAAGTTCCGTGTTCACTTGCTTGGAAGGGAGCGCTTTGCAATTTAAACCGATCTTACCTCACTACGTACAGCAGTAGAGACTCCTCACTTATTGCAGAGAATGGCTCGGTGGTTTTTTTTGCGGAGTCAACATTGTTGGACAATGCAAGTCAGGCAAGACGAACATTCAAGCCGATGCGTGTGTCAAGACGCCCAAAATTTTGATTTAAAGTCCAGGAGAGAAAAATGCACGTATAATGTCGACAATGCGAAGATGTTCAAAATATTCGAGTGCAAGCAACGACTACAGTGCGCAAAGAAATTGTCGAAGGGTATAAGCCTAATGAGACGCGTCAAAGGGTATAAGCCTAATGAGACGCGTCAAATCTTGTCAGGTTTGTTTATAGACCATTCCGATAAAGCACTGCAAGGTCTTCAGTCTCACACAAAATCGCGTTTTCACCGCTTTGAAAAACAAAATAGATTGTTTTGAAGTGTTTTCTTGGTATACAAGCCTTGAAGAACATCGGAATATTGCTCTTTTACTGATTCCAGCGCTTGAAAACGCAATAATGGTACTTACCACGGAGTACCTTGAGAGCAGAACCTGTCTCTCCAACGGAGCGCGACAGATGTTTGTGAGCCAGCTCAGTTTTTTCGGAGTCGAACAACTTCGTTACGAACCTGTCGAAAGCGTAAACCCAAACGAGACTCCAAAGCCGAGGATTGGGTGGAACCATCATTTAGAACGTCGAGTTTTAATTTCGGCTCTGCAACAAGGTTTGGAGGCCCCCCGAGCAATCTTCAAACGTCAAGCAACGCTGCTGCAATGCCTCGATTTGCCCGCGATGAGCTCTCTTCCAAAGTCGCTCAAACGTTTTCACGTTTAACCTTTCCTCTGCTATTCGACTCTCGTGGGGAGCGTTGTCAGATAATTAAAACGATCGTCGATCACGATGATCGATCGACTTGTCGCTGGGAAAGAAGCAGTTGTACCATTTACAGAGCTCGGTTCCACGACGATTCATGGGACTCGGACACGTGCAAACTTCGTGAGGCGCGAGTATCTGGTATCCTCGACGATGTCCGCAGCTATAAACAGAGCTGAGTTTTGCTCAATCGTGATTGGAAGTCTGCCAGCGGTCAATCGACAAAGCAGACGCTCCATCATGCTCTCGCCACGAGTCCAGCAAAGCTACGATGGGCTGGTTCAGATTTTGGATTGTTGAATTAACGCTTGCGCGCCGTTTAGGAGTTCACTCGATCGCTGCCTTGTCGAGCGAAAAGTGAACTGCTTCAACATGTTTGCAAAAAAATCAAAGTACCTTTGATTTTAAGGAGGGGATGATGTACTCAGCCATTACATGAATCTAGATGTATGAACCTTCTTTATGCATTGTGAGAATTAACAAGAGGAGATTACAGTATGGAGCTCACAGATGCATATGTGACAACCTATATGAATCACAACTGCTATCGGACACTTTCCACGAAAGTTAAAGCTCAAGCTTTTTGAAGTTTAAATTCCGTACACCCAAGATCTTTTATGATATCGGTCACCCTCAGTACAGTTTCAAGTGTATAAATCAGGATCACAAGGTTGTATAAGTATTGGCTCTAGGAGTCCTTGGGGTGCTTTGCATGAAGCTTTAGGACCGTGAGCACATTTATCTGATTTTGCTGCAAGCCTGCTTTTACGTTCTACTTCCTTCCCAATCGAAACTGTCCTTCTGCCTCCACGTCAAAAACCGCTCCTCGTCGCACAAGCGTGTGTTGCTGTGTTTAAGGACTGTTGAGGACAGTGCTCTTCTACAAGCAGTAATAAACACATGACAATAGAAGCTAAGTACTTGGATACCATTGCTGCGCGAGAAACGTTTTTCTAGACAAAAAATTGAAGAGACATACATACAGTGCGACACACTAAGGAACATCTTTTCTTTCTTGACTTTATTTCGGTACACGAGCCAATGAACACATGTCAAATTCTCCCGCACAAGTCAAAGTCTCCATGTCCGCTTGCACGCCTTTAGAGTAGCGATTGGAGAAATGTATTCGAGCCGCCGTACTTTGATTTTGTGCTAGCAAGGCGCAATTGGACGCTTACTCGTGTCAAAATAATATAATCGACTGCACCAATTTACCCGTTAACAAACTTTGAGTAATCTTTTTTTAACCAGTAAAATTTCATCCACGTCCAAGATATCAAAACTTCGACTGCTGTCTCCATTGCCGTTAGAATCACATATCGCCAGCGAGATAGACCCCTCGTATGAATCCACATTACGACTCATTCGCATCTGTGGGAACGGGCGCAAGATTCATAGTGTTTTATTTCCGGTTGGCCGAATCACCGGCTTAAGTACTATCGCATCATAACCAGTCGCGTATATACTCGAACTGGAAGTGGGATGAGGGCTTGCAGAATACCATCATGAGACAGATTGGATGTTTGGACTCATTCATATCCACAACGAGTCGACCGCCACTGAAACTACATATTTTGTTACCTCACCTTCTTTGGCTTCTGGGAGCTTCCCCAGCACATTAATATCTTTGGACCCGTGGTGAAAACTGTTCCTGGGTAGTTCCTGTCGTTGTGTCCAACTCGTCGTCTCTCAACACAGTGGAGTGGTAGCAAAGTGAAGTCGCTATTCATCCCGCCAAGTACAACATCAATGCGTTCACAGCAAACTGAAGCGCCAGTTATGTATATATTACCTACAACGGCACGCTCACTTTACATCGCTCGCTATCTTTACGGTAAGCAGTCCCGTGCAATCTTGCTAGACCTGAGCGATAGCAACAGAACCTGCTTTAGTTTTAGCCAAGCATATCATTTATTCTGGTGATTTATTCTTCATTTTAAGGGATATTCTAGAGGTAACTCAAATAGAAAATTTGCGCAAAAGGTGATTTAAGATGTGTTATACTCACGATCTAAGATCAGTATGAAAATTTAAGTGCACCTGAATGACAGTACATGCGACCCAAAATGTCCTGATTTTTATTGATACCGATACTTCGGTTCTTCTACATATTCACAATCACACTAAAGAGCATCATTTCTTGCACAATATGGTATTTGCACAATTGTACAAAGCCCAAAGTAGTATACACAAGAGTATAATTTTACAGATCATGCGTCATTGCGCATAGCGGCGCCGTCACCACATCTCTCGCAGAGAATGACGTCATGGATATCTCACTTTGCCGACCAAATTGCCAAATTTGCTTGATGTGGTCGCGCATGCATTTTCGTGTCGCACCGACTATGAAGTTTCGCGTTTCATAATGGTGACTTCGCATTTTTGATGGCGTATGAGTCAGACGAATATGTGTTGCATTGTTAAAAGCTATGAGAAGCAAGCAGTTTGTGAGCTCGGAACTAGCTGCATAGATGCGCTCAAATGCACCGAAGAGAAGAGAATCTGCGCCGCTATGCCTTATCGAAGGTTTGCTTCTTTTCCACTTGTGGTTTCACTAATCTCGATACCGGATACTGTACGAGGCAGATGTACCCCTAACTCAGAATAAAGGTATTTGGCTCAATTAATCGTAGTTCGATATGTATAAATCACACAAATCATGGATGTGTTTTAGCACAATAAAGTCCGTATGACGCATTACATAGGACTAGCCACGTACGTCTCCTTTTCGACAAATCACCACTCTATTCCCACCCGTACGAGCACTGTTCAAGACACTTCATAACCATGGTACTTCTTAGCTTCTCTTAGTCTGGGGAACAACACACGTACACCTTTATGGCCATGACATCTTCTCTTCGCAAGTATCCTCTGCACAAGTGTTACAAGACCCTCTCATAACGTTTAAGCATTTTAATATTTGAGACTGAAAACATAACGGTTGGACATTAACTTTTATTTCATTCATCCTCTATCCTCAGTAGTTTTCACATGCGTGTTACAGTGGCTTATAAATACATGCAACACAAGTAGGGCCAAATTTCGCAAGACAACTTACCAAATAATTTGGTATTGCTTCCGAGCTCAGCACAATTTTTGCCTGCACTTGTCAGACCAGGTTGCACTTGCGTTTGGCTTGACAGTTTGCCTGCTACAAATTCATCAAGAAAAAGCGTCAAGCCCTTCACTACAGGCATATCTTGGCTTCCTAATTTAATTACCTTTCGCTCTCCAGGTATATCGAGATCCTATCAACCCATTTTACTGTACAAATGTATCATCATCCAGGACATTAAGTAAAAATTTCAAGAAGAATAGCATGACCAAAAATATTTCAATTGCGTCAGAGCTTGCGACTTGAGGGTCGTAATCCTTGCTGCTCGGTCAGAGTGGATCGGTTTGTCTTCTCCGCAGTGATGATGCCATACTTTCGTACGCATGTCTGCATGATGACGCGGAACAAGCGTAACAAATGTCGAGATGTGCAATATATATTACATACTTACTTATCTTTCGCCTCCGTCCGATTACGTGGAGTTGGCATGAATATTCAATGATTTCTCCACTATCAAGTACGTGTGTTAAATGCTGAAGGCATGATGCGCTCAAGGAAGACGTGAATCGGATCCGTATCTTGTTGGTCTGCAAATATAATTTTGATTTCGTCCATAAAGCATCAACGCGCCTGTCTGCCTGCGCGTTTCAACAACAATCGAAGTTGAGAGTTGCGACATCTCACCTACTTACTAACGACAGGGCGGAAGTAATCAAAATGTAGTCAATCTCATGGCTTGGCTACTATAGCGTTCAACCCACCATATACTTCATTCTGACGTTGGGATACATTTTTTTATGGTGCTCGATGGCGCAAAATATTAAGCGTCGTGTGCACTAAGTTGTTCATTTCGATCTCTTTTTCTTGATTAGATGCAGTTGTTTTAGGCGATGCAGGGAACCTTTTTGTCTGTTGGCAAGTTGAACTAAAACTTAACGATTCAAGTGTGTCGGCCTAAACCAAACGCTGTAGTTAATTTGTCTACTACCTGCATCAGCACCTGGTTTATGCGCTTGTCGACAGCTGTGCACACAATTTGCTGCCCACCTGAGGTTTCTGTTGTCTCTACAGCAATCTTGAATATTTACGTATCTATGCGCCGCAGCTTAACTCCTAGATAGCTGTGCGGTATTTTAGCTTATTTGTCGAGGTAAGATTTTAAAACAAACTGTTCTCTAAGCATCAGAAACTGCCGCTTTTTTTGTGCGTTGACTTGACTGGCTAAGTTAGTTATCAAAATTAAAATAGTCAATTCTCATTTAAATTGTTCACCTTTACATAACTTAATATTTGAGTTTTAGTTAAACAATTACCTACTTTAATCAGCTAAAATGAGCTCACCAGAGACGCGGAAGTGCTGCGTACACAGTCCCTTCCGTCGAGCTTTCTTTTCACAGCCAAGCATCGAGCAAATTTTACCACCTCCGTGCTTAATGCAGAAACCATTGCCACGATCCTTGGAGGAGCAACCTTCCTCTTTGCACAAGCGCTTACCACCGTGGCTGTGGCACAAATTGTTTCGTTGGGAAACACGTTCACACCCATCGATTTTGCAGTATTTCGAGGTGCGGCTGCGATTCGTTGTGTGCCCACCGAATGTTGATATATGAGAGCTGGATGAGTATAGCACATTCCGAGCTGGAGAGATGTCGGACCACGAGCGCCTCTTCACTGAAAAGGTCGGCCCCATCAACGAACCTGACTGTTGCATTGAAAGTGAAGCGACGCTTGGAAGCGGGGTGTGAGGCATTGTTGCTGTATAATAAACGCTCTTCTTCTTGTCAGGGCTAATTAGCGATCGCTGGAATGGCATAGGCGACAAACAGCGCGACACGGGGGCGGGGCGGGAGTGTTGCGGCGACGGTGAAGCGGAAGTGGTGGGCGAATTGGTCTGCATTTGCTTCAGCAAGCCTTCAAGTGACGGCAATCTGGGACTAATATTGAGACTCAATGAGGGCGTCACAGGCCGCCGGAATGACGACTGCGGAGGTGGAAGAGACCGAACGTTTACTGCTAGCTTTTGTTGGTGTTGTAGCTCTTGTTGCTGGGCCTGCTCTGCAGCAGCAAAGAGCACGAGTGGTGGATATTCTGATAGTGATTGTTGACTACGCGGTACAGCAAAAGCGGGTGCCAGGAAGGGCTGCGTGCCGGTCATGGGCACAGAGAATGAAGCTTGGGAAGTCATCATAGTTGGTCCGTCTGACGGCTTGAGTTTATCCACTTTTGACTCAGTTGGCAAATTTTGGAATGGTGCCATTCAGTGTGGCCACAAATGATCGATTGCGCCACATGCACCGCAAATTCAATTGTTTTAGGATTGCGCCTTTAGGATGATCCAGCTGGGCTAGTCTATCTTGCACTTTGTATTAGGTATGGTGCGACACATCACAGGCTGAATTTGTATGATGGCACCTCAAATGTAGCATCCTGGACATGAAATAAAATATTTGCTCTCTGGTGACAGAAAAGCTCATCATCTCTCACAGCACGATTGCTCTCAAACATGACATTTATTAAAACGGGTCCTTTACAATGCGTTACGCACGGTCATCACTCACCGATGGCACATTATTTTCATGCTTCTTCTTCATATGTGTACCTTTGTTGGCACCACAAGTGGATGGCGACTACCAGAGTTACTCGCGCTATCATATTGCTGGCCCTATGTGACATCTGTGCAAAGAAAACCCATTACTCTTGATAAACAGCCAAATACAAGACGTACATCCGACAAAATAGAAATTCTCAGGCTTGGCAACCTAAACACTTCACATTTCTTTTTTAAGATTGTTATCTTACATGTTTACTTTTAGAGCAATTTGTAGATGATTTTTATGCAAATCGCTTACCATAATTAAATAGATAAATAAATATGCAGCCCACAATAAGATTCAGCAACCATATTCCATGGATTTATGTAAACACCTATCAAGGTTTTTGGCTGGCCCGTCTTTTGACACTGACGCTTCAATTGTGGTGCATGATTGCGTCGCTTCTAACCCTAAAATCGGGCTTGTTGTTGTCCTGTCATGCCAGCTGTAGGAACCTTTCCTGATGTGAGTAAAGCCGCACAAATAATTTTTCAAAAAATACGATATATGACTGGATAATATGTGCTTCGATACATGGCATGAACTCTACATTGACCAGGCATTCCATGCACTACCATTTTGCCACAAGTGCGACATGTCGAAATTTGGTGCGCAATCATGTTTCGTTTCTACACATACCATAGTACACTCGCGTGATTGCGTAGCATTGAGTACCGCGCGCAAGCACCGCATGCGGTTTTCGTGTTCAAGCTACATAGCTGCGAGCGTACCCACGTGTAAACAGTAATGCTTGCATGCACCGGAAATACTATCAAAGTTACTAGCCATACATTACCATATAATAAATAAGTTGTAACTTAGCTATTTACTCGTAGCGGCCGAAAGTGGAGTAAAGTAAGCAGATGAAGCAGATGAGTTCTGTATCTGTCGCTGTCGATCGCATGTATTTCTTCTTGTATGGAGTGACTTCAATGCCTGTGCGCACAGCACGCCAGACACGCTACTTTACGGGTTTCTCTCTGGCTTGACAAGAGCTCAGAGATATATATACATATTTAGTACCAAAGACCAGCAGTTGCGGCAACGGAGGTCGGACAAATACAGAAAAAAACAGTTTGATTTGGCGAGAGACAAGCCGTGATTACATTGGTCGGAATGAGCTCGCATATCTTGTGTTGCGTACGTCATACATCATACCACGGTACTATTCTTCTATTAAAAGAAATATATGTATAGCACATTAATTCAAAGGTGATTCGCAAAAAGCAATTGCAAAATATTCGTGATGACTAAGTTCTTGATAATGGACGTCACGCATGATTTCAAATCATGACGTCGAGGATCACGGCTTTCCATTTGCCGGTTGACTCTTCTTTCCACCATAAAGAATGTTCTTGTATGAGCAGACATTATAAATAGAAAGTTGATCATACCAACAATTCAGGTGAAAAGATAAGAAACGTCGTCGATTTTTTTCGCTTAAAATTATACAGCATTTGCGCTACGAGTTGCATCTTCTTTTTGAAAAAACTGAGTCTGAGCTCGACACGTGGCAAATAACTAAGCAATCGCAGTCTTACGATTCTGATTGAATTTGATCTCTCCAGTACCTCTAAAGTAGACTGGCACTAGAGATGATGTTCTCATGTTTAGGGTTGAAAGCGCCGTCTTTCGTTCTGCATTCTAATTCAGGGAAAGTGCGGAATGTGATACAAATCAAAAATTCTTGCAATATGCGAAACAAATGCTGAAAACACTTACAAAAATACACTGCCGTATGTCATGGCGAAGAGATAGCGTAGACAAATAGCTTCGGCACGTGCACAAGATGAGCACGTGATCAGATGTTGATGTTGACGACTTAAAGATTATGCGGGTGATTACGGTAAAGGATGCAGTGGATGCCACCAAAGACATTAAGTTCCAGGAAGGAAAACATATGAATGTTACTTTAGTGGATCAGCAGACATCGATTTTTGAGACCGCAAGGTATTTTTGAGGGCCTGTAAGACATTCAAATCAAGTTTGAAAATTCTTTAATATATATCACCGTCTGAATGTACTCGTTATTAAAATGAGTACCAAAGAACCAGGTTTGAGACTATGATATGACATCGATTCAAACTTAGCAAGTCTGAGCTAGTACCCAGAGTGGGCAGGATGATTGCTTATTCGGTTACGTACCCGCTCACGCTGTTAATCTTCGGATTCATTGTGAAGCTCATAGTTACAGTGACGGGTAACAAAAAGTTCCTCACGTAGCAGATGATTTCGTAAACAGTGTCCACAGCCTTGCTATAATAGTATAGATATTTTGATGTTGTGTACGTGTGCCATACAGATCTTTAATTATGCAAAATACAATATCACAAAATCGTTAGAATATGTATATTACACTTTTACGTAATTGGTAGTATCTATAATCACCAAAGTTTCGATATTTTGAGAGCTACTGTGAATTTGGCGAGCGTCGAGTAATAAAATAAAGGTGGATTTTTATAAATTCGAAAGTATTACGCTTCAGTACGCGTAACTCTTAAATTAGCATTTTTACTTAGTAGCTTCAAAACGAGGCTCGGTTCCGCTGCAGTATACGGCATATGAAATAGATCGCTGTGTATTTGTTAACTGGACATTAAAATTCAAAGTTTCCCCTGTGCAAAGTGCACGGCACCCCATTGCACTTGAAAGCATTGGTAGTCAATGCCACGACTGAGCTTAGAATGAACTGTATCTTATGTGATTATGGAGCATTAGATGATGGAGTTCCTGTATCCGGCACAACCAGACAAGCTTGTATATCTTATGTATATTGGGTCAAGATGAAGAGTGCACGCGTCCAAATGACGAGATACGGTTATTCTTGCCACAAGGTGACATTGTCAAAGAAATACGCGAGTGAGACATCTTTATGAGCGCATCAACTGGGGGCATTGGTTTGACAGATCGCTTTCACCGTGGTGCTGATTTTGCAAGGCCTGGTCTTTGACGAATAGGACATAAAATCTTACCTCGGGATGAGTAGAATTGCGATAGCAATAATTTTGGGCATGCTCTAAGCAAACAAACTGCGCGTTGCACTTGCGAACTCCGCGCTGGAAGTCGCACGCGAGAATACGCACTAATGTACAATATATCGGTTTAGAACGTTCTCACAATGACAAGAATTGAAGCAACAGATATCATGAGTATAATCTAGAATATACGCTGCGCGCGATGTTTTGTCTATCCGTCAAGGAAGGCTGGAACTCACGAACTGCTGACAGTAGTCAAGAGTTACCACCG